AAAAAATAACAAAAAAATAAATAAATTAAATTTAGTGAGTTCGCGAGCACGTTTTCGACACCGCCATCTTTGGCGATTTTTCATTTTTTTTTTGGAATAGCTAAATGCCCTGAAAATTTAGATATGTGTACTTCACATAATGCAAAACACACTAAAAAAGTTTCAAAAAATAATAAAATTGTTTAGACCCCGAACTAAAGTGAAAACGAAAAGTAAAAAGTGAAAAAAAAACGTTGGCAAGCACGTTTTGAAACCGCCATCTTTGGCGATTTTTAATTCTTATTTGGCTGAGCCAAATGACTTGAAAATTTATAGGCGTGTACTGCACGTCATAGAGAACTCGCAAAAAAAAAAAATTCAGAAAAAAAAAAAAATTTTAGGCCCCGAAATAATTTTTGGCAGGGGCCGAACGCCGTCGGGTTCGGACCCCGTACGGGATCCCGAATGCCCGTACGTACGGAGGTCTGCCCAGGGACCTCCGTACGTACGGGCTGGTAACCCTGTACTCTCTGCCTACGGTTTTACCGGGCAGTTCTGTTTGTGACGATATATAATATACATATTACAGTGTAATTGCTAATAAGTTAAGGGATTCTGCAGACTTTTGAGGGTTCAGCCTCCTGATGAGTTGGTGAAACTCCAACGGAACAGTTTGCCACAGCCCCTCATTTGTTGTCCTCTTCTCCCTCTCTGCCTACGGTTTACCGGGCAGCTCTGTTTGACTATATATATATATACCATCTGAGGATGAACTTGGCAAGGGGATTGTAGGAGATTCTGTAGAAAATCCGCCTGACCGGCCTCCACCGAATCTGTGTGGCCTCGCTGCTACTAACATCTGCCTACAAGCCTATCGTCGGGAGCCATATACTCACTCTGATTTCTTGGCCATTGCTTCCGATCTTGATGCTCAGGAACGTGAGTTATATGGCGATAACCCGGCTCTGCATCCCCCACAGGATAGTAATTACACTCGACATGGGGGATTCAATGTCTCTGTTTTGGAGACTGCTGTGATAAGGCGCCGGTTTGATATGCAGCGTGCCCCTTCGGGTGGCGACGCGGACCACTGTTCGCACGTTTGTGCCTATATTCTACATACTCCTAGCCACTATACCGCTCTTGTCCGTGCCTCTGGTTCTTGGGAATTATGGAATGGCGGTGCTATGGTGCAAACTATTACTGCCATCTGTGATCTCGTGCGTAATTACCCTAACCTGCGTCATTGACCCTATGGGTACCTCGTGTACTTCCATACCCGCCTCTACGCCTATCTCTGTGCCTGCCTCCGTACTTGTCTCTGTGCCTGTTTCTATGTCTGTCTCCTTCTAGATTACTGACCCTATAGGTACCTCGTGTACTTCCGTCCTCGCCTCTGCACCTGTCTCTGTGCCTGCCTCCGCACCTGTCTCCATGCCCGTTTCTTTGTCTGTCTCCATGCCCGTTTCTGTGTCTGTCTCCATGCCCGTTTTTGTGTCTGTCTCCATGCCCGTTTTTGTGTCTGTCTCCGTGCCTACCTCCATGTCTGTCACCGTGCCTGCTTTAGTCTTCATTCCCCCGCATGCTGCACTAACACCTTGTGACCTCCTTCTTTGTGAGATCACTGATACAGTTACACTTGGTTGTGGAAAGCATCGACTTTGTCGACATCACTACAACCATATAATTTTTCGGGCCCGCTGTCGGCAGGGATGCCACCTGTATCCGGATTGTGAACATCCTCTGCATCCAGATGCAGTATGTCCCATCTGTGCCTACGGGCGCTATAGCGAATGCGCACTTAACTGTGATGGTGAACGCCCCACAATGGTCATGGCCTGCAACCGGCATGCCCTCTACCGTGCATGCTTCAGAGGTATGGTCGATGCTAGCCGTCCTGGTTCCTGCTGTGACGAAGTTGCTTACCTGAATGGTTTTCGTCCTATAGATCAGCGGGAGGGCTGCTACCATCGCCTGCATCCTTATGATAGTTGTCCTATCTGTCATGAGGGTCTTACTTAGACGTACCTTGCACCCTGACAAAAATGTGCAGGTGCGCTGAAAAGAGTGTACAAGAATGTGCAAAGGTGGGAAACCCTTCACTAAAA